CCTTCCTCCTCCTTCCTCCCTCTTCCCTTCCCTCTCCATTCTCTTCCGCCCGAGAATAAAAAGAAAGAAAAAAGGAAAGGAAGAAAGAAAGAAAGAAAAAAGAGAGAGAAAGAAAGAAAGAAAAAAAGAAAGAAAGAAAAAAAGAGAGAAAGAAAGAAAGAAAGAAAGAAAAGAAAGAAAGAAAGAAAGAAAAAAGAGAAAGAAAGAAAGAAAGAAAGAAAGAAACAGCCTTGGAAGAATAAAGGATTATGCAAATGAGCAGAGTACCCTCGTCCATGGCCAAGACCTGCTATCACAGCCTCGCTCCTGATGCTCATAAGGCTTCCGGAGAGAGCGACAGGAGATAACGGCGGAAACCCCGAAGGAGATGAGGAGATAGGGTGCGCGTTGGAGGCTTCCGAAGGTGGGGGGGAAGGGGGGAAGGGGAGGGGAGAGGGAGCAGGTGGGAAGAGACAATAGCTTTTTAATTTTTTTTTGTGTTCTTTTTTTGAGTGAAATGGGAATGCAGGAAGGATGGGAGGAGGGAGGGAGGGAAGGAGGGAAGGAAGGAGGGAGAGAGGGAGGAGGGAGAGGAGGAGAAAATGGGGATGAAGGAGAAAGAGAGAGAGAGAGAGAGAGAGAGAGAGAGAGAGAGAGAGAGAGAGGGAGGGAGAGAGAGAGAGAGAGAGAGAGAGAGAGAGAGAGAGAGAGAGAGAGAGAGAGAGAGAGAGAGAGAGAGAGAGAGAGAGAGAGAGAGAGAGAGAGAATACAGAAGAGAGAGAAGAGAGATAGAAGAAAAGAGAGAAGAAAGATGTGAGAAAAGAAGAGAGAAAAAAATATACATATATAAAAAAAAACATAAAAACATAAAACAAAACAGGCAAGCAGACGAACCAACACGAAAAGACAGACAGACATACATACATACAGACAGAGCAACAGAAATAACAATAACAACAACAACAGCTTTCCCTCTCCCGTTATTCCCCTCCCCTGCACCTGGCCCTATTCTCCCTGTGACTTACGAGTCCTTGTTCCGACTGTGAGTCATAGAAACAGCAGGACACCAGGACTTTCGTGAACTGGGAACAAGTGGAAAACACGTTTCAAGATGTTTGTGTTTTTCGGTTGATGTTTTTCGTTTCGTTTCGTTTTTTTTCGGGGTTGAGTTACTAAAGAGAATGTGTTTATATTCTGTTTTATCTTTTTTTCCGATTATTTGAATAAGATTAGATGGCGTTGCGGAAAGAAACGATTTTATTTTACCTTTGAAGTAATGTGTATGTTTTAATAGAGATCAGCTCCTAAACTGTTTTTATTTTTGAACTTAATATATATGTTGTTGTTATTTTTACAGTGGATTAAATTCTTTTAGTGAAGTTATCCACCCCACTTTTTTTTAAAAGAAAAGAACGTTTTCTATGATTTACAAAGGCTCCATGGCCGATGGGTTACTCGTTCTGTCGTTTCGTCCCGGTAATGGCTTTCAAACGACCAAAACCGCCCAATTAGCTATTTTCGGTCGGCCGCTGACGAAATCTGACACTGATTTTTCCGCTACAGGATTAAAGTTACGTGGGTACAGCGAAATCTCCGTTTAAAAAAAAGGTCGCTTTGTGATCGATGTTGAGAAAAGGTGGAAAGTCAGAACGTGGAATGTCCTTAATTCGTTTTTGAATTCTGTTTATTTTAGACCAATAGTTCTTAGGGTGACTGACCTTTAGAAGCACCTGTCCGTTTTGTTTATTTAAACCAATATATATTATTTTGGAAGACTGACTTTTATTTCTTAGAAATATCTATCCCCTTCCCCCTCCCCTCCTCCCTCCCCTCTCCCTCCCTCCACCTCCCACCCCTTCCCTCCCACTTCCCCCCCTTTCCCTCCCACTTCCCCCACCCCCTTCCCACTAACCTCATGGATGTCAATGCCCTGGTTGAGGCTCCACATGGTCTGAAAATAGTCCTGCATCCTCTGGCGAAGCTCCTTAGGGATCTGGTTGATGGAGAGGAAGTCCTTGAGGTCCCGCCACTTCGTCTGGTAGAGGGAGCGGCGGAGGTACATGCGCTGGATGATCGAAGTCACGTTTCCGAAGACGGTGGCGTGCATGAGAGCTGCGGCGGAGGAGAGAGAGAGAGAACGGGAGTGTATGAGTGCGGTGGGAGGCGAGGGGGGTGGTGGGAGGAAGTGTGAGGTGAGGAGGAGGGAGAGAGAATGGGAGCGTATGAGGCGGTGTGTGGGGAGGTGAGGAGATGAGAGGTGGGGGAGAGAGAACGGTGAGGTGAGGAGGAGGGAGAGAGAACGGGAGTGTGAGGTGATGAAGGTGTGAGATCCGGAAGTGTAAAGTGAGGTAGTGTGAGGTTAGAAGACGACGGCGGAGAAACAGAGAGAGAGAGAGAGTGAGAGAGAGAGAGAGAGAGAGAGAGAGAGAGAGAGAGAGAGAGAGAGAGAGAAGAGAGAGAGAGAGAGAGAGAGAGAGAGAGAGAGAGAGAGAGAGAAAGAGAGAGAGAGAGAGTGTGAGGC